TGAATTAATAAAAATGGATAGACCTGTACAAGAAAAAATAAAAAAGCAGGATTTGCTGATATACTTAATGTCCTCCATAGTAATTCTTCTCCTCCACTAGATGTCCTCATTTTTATGAGCTGAATAATAGTCAGCATCATTCAACCCATTACCTCTGAGCTCAGGCTTGTAATGACCTGGCACTTCAGGATATGTCAGGATGGTGGTCTAGGCTCAGTGCACTGAAAGGACTAAAAGGCACTTACATGACATTAGGTAAGCACTGTTTGGTGCAGGCGTGCCTCCTACTGCCACATTCGGAGGAGAAGAGGAAGGACCCCTGAAGTCACCAGACCGGCCAGAAAGCCCTTGGAAATAACATATATACGTGTAGAGGAGAGTTGGGGTGGGGGGGGGGGTGTTAAAACTTGAGTTCTGCTTTAAGACAAAACAAGAGTGGTCCGTGATGTCAGTGGTTCCTAGGAACACAGCAGGTGCAAGCTCCCACGGCTTCCTTAGGAACCATTGACAGTGGGATACTGTCATATATAGCAGAAATGTGACTTTTATAGGGACAAGGTGCTTTGGGAGGGGGGAGCCCCTTCCGCCCCAAAGCACCCACTCCATGTTGAGGGCATGTGGCCTGGTATGATTCAGGAGGGGGACGTTTGCTCGTCCCCCCCCCCTTTCCTGACCTGCCAGGCTGCATGCTCAGATAAGGGTCTGGTATGGATTTTGGGGGGACCCCCACGCCTGAAGGGCTTGGTATGGATGGAGGGGGACCCCATGCTGTTTTCTAAAATTATTTTTTTGATTGCCGGCAATTTTTTCTCTTACATTCAGCTGTCAGTGGGGAACCCTGCTCACAGCTGAAACAATGGTTTTCACAACTAAAATACTGCATGACTTGATAAAATAACTCATGCGGTATTTTAGTAGCGTTTGTTGGTGAATTCAAACTTTAAAACTCAGATGCAGTAAGATACCGCTTAGTGAATTGTGCCCAGTGAGCCTCTCACCTGGCCCCCTACTGACCCCGGGCCCTCGGGCAATCTCCAAATGGTCAGTCCGCCCCTGTGCTGTAATTATACAGGGCCCTGGATGTAGGCTTAATTAGGTTTATTGTTCATTGAAATATTGGACCAAATAGGTCAGCGTGACAGCCAGTCCAATATCCTTTTCAGAAGTGGTCGGCAAGGACAGCCCCTATTTTTACCTTATGACAGGTTCTCTGAGGTGTTAAGTGAGAGAAAGACTTAAACCAGTATTAAACCCAATTTAAATGTTTTTAATTTAAAACACTGAGCAAAGAAAAAAAAAAAAACATTCCCCAGTTACCTATTTGTTAAACTTTAAAACTTTCAATGCTCCTGCCTCCTGCTATCTCAGTGCTGCCTTCCTGAACTTCTGCTCTTCACAGGAAAGAGTTAACAGTGGATAGTGGAGCCTCCAGTCAGTCTGGAGAGAAGGAAGAGGGAAAAGCAGGGGAGTGCCTTACCATTTCAGGCTATGGGGCTGTGTGTTTCTATTGATGCACACAGTGTAGGGAGACACAACTCTAGTCCCGGTATGCAAGGGTGGTTTCATAAGATCCTGCAAGAAAAAGGAATCCTGAGACAGCGACCATGACCCCAGCTTAAAATGACCCATAAGCAAGGAGAAAAAGATTAAAAAAAAAAAAAGCTGCATATACTCAGTAAGTGATTAAATCAGCTGCTGAAAGTGCTTAAAAAAAACAAAGGATTTAATATCTTTTTATCAGTTCCATACAATTACGGCAGACATATTCATTTCCTCTCATCTGCATGTTTTAGATACCGGACAATCTTATGTTATAAATGCGAAATATTACATTTCAGAAATTGGTCCAATCACTGTTATGAGCTTGCGTTTGTTGTGTCACAAAGAGGCCCAGGGGGAGACTTGTCTTCCTATTGAAGCATTGTTTAATAATTCCTCCAGCAAAACAATAGATGGATTACAGCATTCTCTTGTTATTGGATCTCATGCAGCAGATCAAAGGACAATTATTTTTTAATCACATTTGGAGTGTGAAGTTCAATGGCTTGCAGGGTGCAGGTTGGTTCCTGGCTCTTCTCAATTGTGTACATATTATATTAAATGTTATTCCTTATCGGTAAATATTTTAATGCTTTTCTTGAAATAGTCTGCATGGTTTGGTAGTCAGCATAAGCTTTCTCATTCTGTTTCTCATTCAGTTTACCTTTTATCATTAAAAGTTCTTGCACTCCAGTCTAGTGTCTATGCCTAGATGTGCAAGGAGAAAAGTGTTGGATGCTAGCTGAGTAGAGGCCATATAAAACTTAACTAGTCTCAATTCATAAAAAGTCAATGCTTTTTGGGATTTAAAAATGCCCTTTCACCGAGGCTGCAAGTATTACATAAAGAGTGTTGCCGGCATTTTATAAATAATAATGACTGTATGCTATGTATTAGTATGTCTAACTGAAACATTGTTATTTTACTATATATATCCGCTTGTAGCAACATTGCTCAACACTGCAGCTCAGGTCTCTGCTAGGTACACCTGTGCCCTAATCAAGAAAAGGTAAACTGAATGCTGGACATTCAGGGGTTTATTTACTAAAGCTGGAGAGTGGAAAATCAGACTGACTTCTGCAAAGAAACCAATCAGCTTCCAGGTCCTATTGCCAAAGCTTAATTGAACAAGCTGAACATAGAAACTGATTGGTTTCTATGCAGAAGTCAGCCTGATTTTGCACTCTCCAGCTTTAGTAAATAAACCCCATAGTCTCTGCTCATCAATGGGTTTGCCCATGGACAGAAGTCTGTCTGCCTATGACTTCTGTGTGACTGTTTATGCCTTGGATTATTCCTATATATTGTTTGAAATGTGTTTATACTCAGTTTGGCTTAGTTTATCCTCATTGTCTATCTTTGCTATTATCTTTCATTGCTCCATTTACTTGTTTGGAACCCGGACTCTGTCTACACATGCTCTGGCATCTCTTCTACTTACTGTCTTCTGGCAGCACAGATGGTCCAGTGAAGGAGACTCTTAAGACTAAGACATTTGGACAATTTCATGCTCCCAGCTTTGTGGGAATAGTTTGGTGATGGCCCCTTCCTGTTCCTACATGACTGTGCAGCAGTGCATAAAGCAAGGTACATAAAGACATGGATGAGCAAGTTTGGAGTGGAGGAACTTGACTGGCCTGGCTCAACCCAATAAAACACCTTTTGGAGAAATTAGAGTGGAGACTGCGAGCCAGGCCTTCTCGTCCAACATCAGTGCCTGACCTCACAAATGCGCTACTGGAAGAATGGTCAAACATTCCCATAGACACTCCTAAACCTTGTGGACAGCCTTCCCAGAAGAGTTGAAGCTGTTATAGCTGCAAAGGGTCGGCCAACTCAATATTGAACCCTACAGACTAAGACTGGGATGCCATTAAAGTTCATGTGCGTGTAAAGGCAGGCAGGCCAATACTTTTGGCAATATAGTGTATATATACAATATATACTGTATATATAATACATAGATATACATAAGTACTTTTGACAAATAAACATATCATAATTGCAATAATAGCTCATAATGGAAATAGAATATAGACTTAACAAAGTAAATATTCAAGTAGATTAGTGAATGAGGTGAAAATTACCATTTTTTTATTTAAATTTATGCGCACAAGAGTGGGCATTTGAAGTGAGCACAGTTCCACCTAATATCACCTTTTATGCTATATAAACTTTCCAAGGTACAGTAATTGATAACTCTGCTACGTGAACACTCTCTACTGTTTTAGTAAGTTGACCCTGTACTGTGCTTACTAACCACATGCTATATTTAGTTGCACAGTCATAATACATATTTATTAAATTTTTTTATATGTACCGTGTATGTGTTTGTGTTATAAAAGCACTGTTGTCATGTATTCAAGTATTTTAGGTATGCAAGTCTGGATTTATGGAAAGTCCACAGCCTAAGGCAGCAAAGTCTCAGTAGGGATGTTTGGCTTTCCCTTGCTTTATTTGCTTGAGGTGATTGTAGCCGTATTAGTGCATTTGTGACAGAAACAATTGAGTACTGTCCGTGATACTTTTTTTATTTGCACTAACATACAATTTTGAGGACAAGCTTTCGGGGAATATCCCCTTCTTCAAGGTCTAAGCTGTACTATTCACAAAGTTTTAGCAGAAAGTTAGAAGAGATGTGGGGGATGAAAAAAAAAAGAAAAAGAAAACAAAAAGACTAGAGATAAGTCACAGCAAAAGCAAAGACTGGGGGGGGGGGGGGGAGCCAGCACTCACACAGGGAGTCATGCTTGAGGTGATAGTCATCATAAAACTGTTGGATAATGATTGAGGAATCCCATGTCAAAATTAAGGCCGTTATCTCTTGTGTCAAATAGAGTTATCATTCTTAGTTCAAAAGTTTTTCTTTCCTGAATGGATTTAAAATTTCCTTTAAGAACTAAAATATTGAAGTCTCCCAAAGTGTGGTCTGGTTGTGTGAAATGGTGTCCCACAGGTGTGCAAAAGTCATCTTATTTATGTTCCTTGATGGTATGTCTGTGCAAATTCATCCTTGTTTGCAACTTCTGTCCTGTTTCGCCAACATAAGATCCTTTGCTACATTTTCTGCACTGGATAAGGTACACAACATTACTGGAGGTGCAGCTGTGTTATCCGGAGATATTGAAGATCCCTTTTGAGTGTCTGACACTTTTTGATGGATTGATTTGGTTGCACAGCTTGCAGCGTTTTTTATTGCAGGGTTTGCTTCCATTATTTGTGACATCATAATCAGAAAGACGTTTCCTACTGATTAGTTTATTTCTGAGGTTAGGGGGTTGTCTAAAGGTCAGTATTGGGGGTTGCTGGAATATTTCTTTCAGAGTTCCATCCTCTGTTATGATGGGTTGTAAATCTTTGATTATTTTTCTTATCCCTTCTAGTGCTGGGTTGTATGTGGTTACTATAGGTACACGGTTCTTTGTTTTTTTCTCTTTGTACTGAAGCAGATTTTCTCTTTGGGTTCTCAAGGCTGTGTTTATGCTGGTGTTGATAGTTTTGTCCTTGTAACCTTTCTTTTGGAAGGAGTCTGCTAGTGTCCCGAGATGTTTATCTCTGTCTCTTGGGTCAGAACATATTCGGTGGTATCTAATGGCCTGACTGTGTATGATGGCACGTTTTGTGTAGAACTGTGGAGGTAGTTGCATCTGTCAGTGGGTTTCCTGTATACTGAGGTGTGAAGCGTATCATCCCTGATGTATACTGTGGTGTCTAGGAAGTTGACGTTTGTGTTTGAGTATTCCATTTTTAGTTTGATTGATGGATGAAAAGTGTTGATCAATGAGTAAAATTGTTTTAGGTATTCTTCACCTTCTGTCCATATGATGAAAATATCATCAATATAGCGATAGTATCTGTATGGTTTTTGTTCCATGCTGTTCAGGAATTTTTCCTCCAGGTCAGCCATAAATAAATTGGATGCATATTGGGGTGCCATTTTACTTCCCATCTCAGTACCCATACATTGAAGATAGATGTCTTTATTGAAAGTAAAGTATTTGTGTGTAAGTATGAATTCAATGAGCTGTGTAACATCCTCAGCAGTGTATTTGTGGTTTGGTGAGGATGATAAGGATCTGTGACATGCAGCTAATCTATCCTTGTGAGGGATATTACTATACAGGGATATTACATCCATAGTTACTAGAAGTGTATTCAGACAACCCCCCAACCTCAGAAATAAACTAATCAGTAGGAAACTTCCTTCTGATTATGAGGTCACAAATAATGGAAGCAAACACTGCAATAAAAAACTCTGCAAACTGTGCAACCAAATCAATATATCAAAAAGTGTCAGACACTCAAAAGGGATCTTCAGTATCTCCGGATCATACAGTTGCGCCTCCAGTAATGTTGTATACCTTATCCAGTGCAGAAAGTGTAGCAAAGGATCTTATGTTGGCAAAACAGGACAGAAGTTGCAAACAAGGATGAATTTGCACAGATATACCATCAAGGAACATAAAGAAGATGACCTTTGCACACCTGTGGGACACCATTTCGCATAACCAGACCACACTTTGGGAAGACCTCAATATTTTAGTTCCCAAAGGAAATTTGCTTGAGGTGATTGTAGCCGTATTCTAAAGGAAATTTCAAATCCATTCAGGAAAGAAAAACTTGAACTAAGAATGATAATTCTATTTGACACAAGAGATAACGGCCTGAATTTGGACATGGGATTCCTCAATCATTATCCAACAGTTTTATGACTATCACCTCAAGCATGACTCCCTCTGTGAGTGTTGTCCCCCCCCCCCCCCCCCCCCCCTCCCCCCCCCCCCCCCCCCCCCCCCCCTCTTTGCTTTTCCTGTGACTTATCTCTAGTCTCTTTTTTTTTTTTTTTTTTTCATCCCCCACATCTCTTCTAACTTTCTGCTAAAACTTTGTGAATAGTACTGCTTAGACCTTGAAAGAAGGGGACATACCCCGAAAGCTTGTCCTCAAAATTGTATGTTAGTGCAAATAAAAAAAGTATTACGGACAGTACTCAGTTGTTTCCTAGATTTATTTTAAAGGGAACCTGTCATTAGAAAATATTGTAGCAATTTACTGGCATAACTGATTGATAAAATGCTATGGGGTATAAAGTTCATGTTACTGCAAGATGCTCCCATGGTGTACGCCGTATGTGGATTTCAGCTTTGCTCAGCCAGAACTCTCTATAATACAACATCACATTGTGCAAGCTTCTCTATAGGTCACTGTGGTGCCTATATTGCATTGTGGAATGCAAAGAGAGGGTGTTTGAGGTATTTGAGGTCAGCCTTAAAGCAAAGTTGAGATCTGCATGCTGTTTACGGACTGGCTGTTGGAGACTTTGAAGCTTTGATTACATAAAGGTAAAGGTTTCTGTTTGTGCCGTACCCATAAAGTCGCCACCTAGGCTTACAACAAAATTATGCATACAGTGAATCCAAAACTAAAAATAATTGTGTGGAGTTAAAGGACAACTTTACCTTTGGTACAGTTCCCTGTGAAACAAAGTCATTTAAAAAAAAAGTCCTTTTCTTGGTGCATATGGCCCAGTTAATTACAAAACTGTAATTAACTGGGTAAAACTGTATTCTGCTTGACCACTGGAAGTCAGCATGAGTCTGGCTAACCCATAGGAATGAATGAGGGACCACAGCATTCATTTTCACTGAGAGGCAGGACATTTTACTGTAAAAGCTGTGCAGGGTCCATCACAGTAAATTACTGCAGGGGTCTACAAACTATGGCCCTCCAGGTGTTGAGGAACTGCAAGTCCCATGAGGCCTTGCAAGACTCTGACAGCCACAGGCAAGACTCCCAGAGGCAGAGGCATGATGGGACTTGTAGTACTTCAACAGCTGCAGGGCCATAGTTTGGAGACCCCTGGATTACTGGATTGAAATAGAAGGTAAGTATCTGAGCCAGTGGTTTGTACTCAGAGTAGTGGGTGAATTTAAAGCAGAACTTAACTGTATCTGAGTGCCATATAGTAAAAATGCTATTTAATCCATTGTTAATATTCACAGCAAACTCACCCATCTATCCATGTCTCCATGGCTGTTCAGGAATTTTATGGCTTTATTTTGTCGATAATTCCCATTGAAAAACACCCCCCTAGCATTTCTAGCTGTGGTCATCTTGATTGAGGGCAGATGATTCATGCAGCATTTAGTTCATTAAATCCATTTGCCCTTAGCTCAGGCTTGCAGGCAGGAGGGCGTGCTTAGCTGAGAAAGCCCCTCCTCTCGTCCTCCAGATGAAAAAAATAAAAATGCCCATGAAGACCCCTGGGATGTATGACATCTCTTTGCCCCAGGCCACAAACCAGGAAGCAACTGAATAAATGTAAAAAAAAATGTGTATAAAACAAGTAAATATAATATACCTTCCTTTAGAATTATTGCTGTCAGAATAAGGATTAAAAAAAGGTAATGTTGACTGAGAGTTTAGTTCCGCTTTAATAATGGACTATTGTACCAAAGGTACTTTAAACTTTGCTTAGTAGCTACAGTGAGTTCAAAACCTGTCCGACGTTCCTTGAACAATGGATCTGGTCTTGACTTCTATCATTGTCCCTGTGTCACCAATCCAGAGTTCACCAACCTTTCAGAGATGGGTAACTTCTGTACCCACTTCCGATAAGATGTGTCTACCATCGCCTTCTTCTGACATTTAAGAAGTTGTTTGTTTTTTTGGTTGAACCTATTTTGTCCAGTCGCTTATTGCCAAATAGCTGTTATTGCAAGCTAGCGGGGAATTTAGATGTGCCGTGTGCTGCCAATAAATACAGAAAGATTCCAGATAAAATAAAGAAACGAGGCTTATATAAGGAAGGGGTAGACTGTCTTTATAATGTATTTGGAAGAGAAGAAAACAATAGTCTGGGGGGTGGGGGAACGTTAATTCGCGTTATATTACGTTACATGTACAATGCTTTGGAGAAGCTGTGCAATTTGTAAAGAAGCAGAGAGGAATCTTAATGTTCTCTCCAAATCCTTTCTGACATTTCTTTGGAGATCAGACCTAGATGTTGATAAGAGACCAAGAGCCACAAGGCAGCTTTTCAGATGTCCACAAAAATGTTTCCTGGCCATGTTCATGTCAGTGCGCAAATTTACGACGCTGAGCCTTAAAAGGAAACCAAGGGTTTTTTTGGACAATGCATGAAGGCTGATTTACTAAAAGAGTTGAGAATTTTCACACAATAAATTGTGAATATTCACTTCAATTAAGCAATCATGTAAACAGCGAATTCCTGTTTACTTATTTCATCTTAATGTAGTTAGGTATTCAAGGTGAACGGGATTGGGCTTTGCACATAATTGGATAATTAAAGTGAGTGTTCTCACAGCTTTTTGTGTAAAGATTCCCAGTTTAGCAAATCAGACCAATTTAGTAAATCAGTTATTCCTTTTATAACAGAATATTTACTTAAAGTGATATTAAAGGTAAGTTTAAAAAACAAAAAACAAACATAGTATACCCACCTGCTCTGTGCAGTGGTTTTGCACAGAGCAGCCCCAATCCTCCTCTTCTTAGGACCTCCACTGGCACTCCTGACCCTTCCCACTGGTGTCTCAGCTAATGAGGAGGGAGGGTCCCCGGAGAGCCGAGGTTCTAGTGCACATCACTGAATCGCGATGGGGTGGGTGGCGGTAATCAAGATGCTGGTATGGCAGTGATCAGGGTGCTGGTATGGGGGTGATCAGGATGCTGGTATGGGGTATGGTGGTGATCAGGATGCTGGTATGGGGTATGGTGGTGATCAGGACGCATGTATGGCATATGAGGTGATAAGGATGCTAGTATGGGGCATGGCGGTGATCAGGATGTTGGTATGGTGGTGATCAGGGCGCTGGTATGGCATATGGCGGTGATCAGGGTGCTGGTATAGCATATAGAGGTGCTCAAGATGTTGGTATGGGGTATGGTGGTGATCAGGACGCATGTATGGCATATGGGGTGATATAAGGATGCTAGTATGGGGCATGGTGGTGATCAGGGCGCTGGTATGGCATATTGTGGTGATCAGGGTGCTGGTATGGCATATAGCGGTGCTCAAGATGTTGGTATGGGGTATGTCGGTGATCACGGTGCTGGTATGGCATATAGCGGTGCTCAAGATGTTGATATGGGGTATGGCGATGATCAGGGTGCTGGTATGGCAGATAGCGGTGCTCAAGATGTTGGTATGGGGTATGGCGGTGATCAGGGCGCTGATATGGCAGATAGCAGTGCTCAAGATGTTGGTATGGGGTATGGCGGTGATCAGGGAGCTGGTGTAGGGTATGGTGGAGATCAGGAGATTGGTATGGGGTATGGGGGTGATCAGGGAGCTGGTGTAGGGTATGGTGGTGATCAGGAGATTGGTATGGGGTATGGAGGTGATCAGGGAGCTGGTGTAGGGTATGGTGGTGATCAGGAGATTGGTATGGTATTTTTGTGTGCACTGGGACAGGTAAAAGCGCTGGCTGTATTGTTTATTGTCCCTAACTGGGGCAGTGATCAGTGACACTGGGGACAGTGATCAGGGACACTGGGGCAGTGATCAGGGACACTGGGGGCTGTGATCAGGGACAATGGGGACAGTGATCAGGGATACTAGTGTGGCTTGCACTGCAGTCTGTGAATGTACAGTCAGCTTGACGGGCTGTTGTACACTCAAAGGGTGCAGGATTGCTTCTCTCATACTGAGAGCAAACAGAAGCGATCTTTAGTTTCACTTTGCTGTGTTTACTATGTGATTGCTGTGATGTGTAATGTCATCCACTGTGTCTGGGCGATATACTGATCACCGGGCTCCTGGGTGCCTGTTCTATGAGCCATGCAGGAAC